AACATCTTTTATAACTCTTTCTCCAAACTCAAGCAGCATTCCAGCGCTTGATTGGGTGACCACTTATGTGACTTATCCCTGCAAATCAGAATCTGCTCTTCCGAAGTTACTCTTTCTCTTCTAATTGGCTCCCCTTTGTACTACTCTTTTTAAGTACACAACCAAGCACTATTTTCTCGCTCAGTTAAATGCAATTTCACCTCACACTGGCCTCGGCCATCTCCTCACACTTATCCTGCCTTTCCTAATTAAGGTTCCCTATGATGTATTGTGTGTATGTCTCCCCTAGCTGGGGTTATTTGAGGTGCCAGTAATAGATGAATAAAATTCCAGCTGAAACTGGCAAAAAGTATAGTATCATAGTTAAACAGAGTGTGTTTTTGCTAGCCAGCACACATTACGAATCTGTCCTTGCTGTTACGCGGAGTTGCTGATACGCCTTTTGGCCATTTTAATAATTATCAAGTCCAGTAGGTTGTCAAGTTAATTTAGCTATGATGAAGGTCTGAAAATAATTATGGAGCATTATGAAGACAAAACTTCAGATTACTGTTTTAGGAGTCATTTGTTAAATGATGTGAAAACTGTGTCGAGGTACGAGAACATAATGAAATATAAACTACTAAAGTTTTTCCTATTTCTTTTAAAGTACATACGAAGGATCTGGGGTAAAGTAAGTAAATTACATTGGTGAATAAATTACATTTGCTGTCTCTATTTACAATGGATGTTTTGAAAACTAAGCATACTCATTTTAGAGGATTATTCATGAAAGCGTTAAGTGACTGTGAAAAAGTTGAAAGTTGGATTTCAAAGGATTTAAAAATTTAAATTATTGGAAGAGAAAGCAAAACAAATGCTAAAAAGTGAAGAGTTGGATAGAAATGAATTATCTCATTTTAAAGAAAGTGAAAATATGATAAATAACGACATACAACATAATAACAAATACGAAGATATGATCAATAATGATAGTAACCAATACCATTTCAGACTAATTGAAAGTGACATTGATAAGTGACATTGATACATTAGAATCTAAACTTTGAGTTCGTTTAGTTGATGTAGATCATAACTCTGTTGTTCCCAAAAATAGTGTTTCTAAAAACACAATTTTTCATCCTTAACCTTTCAGCACGCGTGTATGTGCAAAATTTACGACAAATTCAGTTTTTGATGCACATTTTTCACACATCAAAGCTAAGACGTCTGTAGGTCATTTCTGTTCTTCCTTTCTACCCTTCCCCACATCATGGAATGTGCCAACAAGAAGTCATTTGAATTTTTTTTTTAACTGGGCTTTTGTGCTACGTGGCAGCTTTTTCATAAAGTTTACGACACATGCGTGGTCGTGTTTTAAAATTCGGAAGATAATTTTTTTCTAAAATATTTTGTAATTTTGTGTTATTAATTGCCGTGTATTATTTTAATTTGAATACATTTGGCTCTTTAAATTTTATATCGGTTTTCACTGCAAAAAAATATGTGCAATCAGCTGATTTGCTCGGATTCTTCAAGAATTATATGATGAAGAAAAGGAAACCTTTGGATGTGAGAACAGTAGCGATTTCCATTCCTTATTTTCTTTTATTTCTATTTTTTAGAAATAAATAAAAACATTAAAATTAGTTTAAAGTGCGCTTTTGTAACCAGTAAGAAGTAAATTTCCTTGCAGAAGTAAGTAATGCTAAACTTACTTTTTTCCCTACCAAGGTGTTTTCCTTTTTTATTGTCAATACTTGTCTTTGATGAATATTAAAATTAGCTTCGATTTTAAAATATAATTATTAAATAATACATTTAAAATTTTCTATAATGAAATACATCATTGCGTTTCCATCTCACTAACATAAGAACTTAAAAATAATTTACTTACATTTGAATGTGCTATCATTTGTATTTTGCAATAATAAGATTTAATATTTTATTTCTTAGCAAATTTATTATCAATATTCACTCTTTTCTGTCATTTTTTGTGCCAAAATGGGTAAAATAACGGATGTCATAAAAAATAAGACGCACGTGTGCTCATGTAAAATTGCCAAGCGCGTGCGCTGGAAGGTTGAAAACTAGCTAAAGTTTTGGAGGGGCAATTCAAGAAGTTGGAAAGTGATCTGATTTTAGACAAATTTGCATATTTACTGCATAAATGGAGAGAGAATTGTCTGCAGAGGATTTAATTAAGCATTTCCACCTGAGCAGTGAATGTTAAAAGAAAGCTTTAGAGCAATTACAAGTGCATTATGGTAAAGAAGACTTCCTGATAAAAGTATATGTTAAGAGATTTACTTTCTTTAGTCTTTGAGAAAAATTCGAATAAGAAGTCTTCTATGAGAAATTTATGTTTACAATCAACACTTCGTGTTTTAGAAATTCTCAGCTTGGTGAAAAATAAATATGTCACAATGTTGTATCCACTTGTGGAATCATAAATGAATAATAATGAAACTCTTCACATGTGGAAAAGGTTTAGAGCTATTAACCAAAAGTGCAGAGAATTGGAAACAGATGAGGGAGACAGAGAAAAAAATGATTGTGATTCCTTCTATCGATTCTACCTCCAAAACGCTGTGACCCATCTCGTGAGCTTCAACAACTAAGACTGCATTAAAAATTGGTTAAGTGATAAACATTTGTTGTCCCCAAGGCAGAAACAGCTCTAGACATCTATCACTTTCAGCAGGTATTGATGAATGTAACCAGGAATGCACACAGATAGTATTATCATGGATTCTGGACAGGCTCAGCAGTGCCAGTTTTTTTCAGCACATTAGTGTACACATTTAAAATAGATACCTACATGATGTGTAATAACAAAATTTTCTGGTGGTCGCATTTTCGGTGGTTTATTAAAGTATGATTTTATTGAAAAATGAACACAGTCCAAGCAGTATAAGCACCAAGGCGGGTGAACTTGAAATATTGGATAACTGCACATGCAAGTTTCATATACATCAGCACTACAACTGATGATAGAAAAGGGAGAATCTAGACATATTCACTAAGCAAGGCAAGAGTAGGAAGGATTTTTATTATGGCAAAGCACTACCTGTCCAAGGAAAAAAAATGCCTTTGTTTAAGGCTTTTTGAGAGAATCTGGCTCTGATTCACATGGCAGATAAGAGAAACCACATAAACTCCCATGCATGCAGTTAGCTTATTTATCAGGATTTGAAACTGGGTCCAGTTACTAGCATTCAAAGACTATACCGTTCAGCCAGTGACAGGCAGGAAAATCGTACAGTACAAAAGCAACATTATGTTACTGCTGTTACATTAAGAATGGTGAAGTTTCTTTCATACTCAAAAGTGGGCATGGTATTGCCTAAGTACTATCAGTTAACAAATGTTTATTGATTAGATTACTTGAGTGCATTATTAGTATTATGTAAAAGACGTACAAAAGGGAAAAATTTGAAGTGACACATTAAGGAAGACTCAGGTTAAGTACTTTAATATTTATTTAATTATTTACTATTTTTGGATTTTCATCTAGTTTTACTCTACAGTACATTATTTTTTGCCATTCAGGAGGAATACGTTTTAAAGATTGAATATTACAATCATTTTTCTCCACATATACATATGTATGTGATATTTCGGCATCAAAGTTCAGGCATGGTTTTTGCAGAGTGGTAAGGCTAATCCAAATGAAGAGACAAGTTGATTTAGCTTTTAATGGTACATCTTTATTCCATAGCTTTAATTCAATTTTTACTGTAGATCATGCTTTAAATCATATGAAATTCTCTAAATATGTGATTTAGTAGTAAAAGTAGTAGTACAAAGTAGATCCAAATTTTAATTTGTTACAAAAATACAAGTCAATATTGTTAAATTTCTCGTAAGTAAAATAAACATAATTTTCATTGTCTGAATGTCAAACCTTTAAAACTAGTCCTGGAAAGAAACTAGTTTTAAAATTTAATTTTGAATTCAAACTTTGGGTTAAAATAATACTGAAGCAAAATCTTGTAAATTAAATGCTACATTCTTTCAATTTCTGTTATCGAGGTTTTCAAAATGTTTTCTCTGTTTTCTGCTTCAGAACTTTTAGAGAAACATAATATTTATAAAAAGCACTTCTGCTGTCACATGATTTCATATTAAACCCATCATTACCATTAGCTTAAAAATATTTCTGCTGATGGGTCTTTATTTTGAATTGTTAATGTATAATAACTCTTTATATTTTCTTTGTTTATGGTTTTTGCCATTAAAGGCTAATTTTTTTAATTTATGTTATTGTTTTGTGGAACACCTGTGAGTGTCTCAATAAACAGTTAATTCATAAAAAGATCAAGATTCACTTATACTTGTTTAAGGTATCTTCGCCAAATGAAAAAGTTTACTTATGCAAAATGAATATTTTCTCACATTTTTAAAAAAGATATGTAAATTTCTTTATTTTGCACAATAATTATCCGAGCAGTTAAGACAACAGGAATGAAAAATATCCTCCAATGGCAAATTATATGTTCTAGAGGCATTTTACATTCATAAAAATCTTTCAGTTCTAGTTAATGATCCCAATTGCATATCATCTTTATCCTCAGCTTTTAAGGAAATTATTTCATAGTTGTTTTAATTTTTCAGCAATAGATGGCACCAGTAGTTTGACTTCCTTATTGTCATTCTTAGCACCTTAGCTTATCACTGGCTTCTCTTTGCCATTTGCATTTCTGCAGATGAGCCAGAAGGTTCTATATTTAAACCATCAAAACTATTCTCACAAATGTATGAAAATTACACTGATTCTTGTCACTTTACCTTTTCCAATAATCATTATTTAACTCAAATGTAATTATCCTTTTTTAATATATACATAAATTTCATATGGCAAAAATTGATGAAGCAAATCATTGATTATATTTTTTTAAAGCAAAATGGTACTGACCTTGCATTAATTTTAAATTCTTAAGAAATTAGATCTTTCAGATAACTAATTGCACATAGTTAATACTTAATTCATTTATGAAACATTTAAGATTTTTATATACCTGCAATGGACTAGAAGAGGACCTCTATCTGAACAATAATGTTCATTAACACGTTTTATAAAGCGAAGCAACCAAGATGGCTGCTCTGGAGCTAAAAAGTCTTTCCATAGAACAAAATGAAAATGCAACACTTCTCGTTCTTCTGTTAAACCATCCTGCAAAAGAAATGAATAAAATGAGCTACATTTTGTGTACTTTAAGTAAAACTTGAAAGAAATATAAAAACACCAATGATTTCTCTTTCTTCTGGTTAAAGAATTCTTATGTGTATGTTCTTATGTTACATACTTTCGTGTATTCCACTTTGAACCTCCGAACTATGTAGTCAGAATATCTTTTTGTGCTTATAACCGTCACCACAAACATCTTCTCAATTTCCTTCGTACAACTGTCATTCCAATACTGAGCGCATTTAACCTGAAATAAATCAAAAATTTTAAACTTTCTTCTGATTTTCCAGAATTTACACACATTTAACTTAAATTCCTTGAAAGTGGTTCATAATACAGTATACTGTTAAAAAAAAAAACAATGTTTGAATGCAAAAGAAGATTAATTTTAAGTTATGTTTATGTATTAGAAAAAAGTAAGTTCTGTAAATAGAGTTATACCTGACCATGTTCTTCAATACCAGTAAGCATGACAACTACAGTAACTCTGTGTTCCCACAGCATTCGCCAAAAGTCTGTTACAGTTCTGTCAAGAGGACCTTGAGCACAAATGAACATCTTCCTTGACTTATAGCCCTGTAAAATCCAGGAAGTTGTATAAAAAGAAAAAAAAAAATTCTTACTGCCATATAACATGCTACTAATAAAATAATGCAGAATCAGTACAGTAGAACCCATCAGAAGCTGTGTGATTGTATAGGTTCTATACAGTACAAAGTCTGAAATCTGGATGTCCGATATTCAGAATGATTTAATATACAAACCACCTGTCAAAAAATAGTAAAAAAAAAATCATTCCTAACAAAATCTAAGAATGGAGAATGTAATACTCAACAAAACAAAGCAAGTGTGTCTCCTAACTCAGAATCAAGCATGTCAGTTATAAATATCTGCTGGCTAAGGAGTTGCACCACAGCCAATAACAATACATTGATTAACACTGTACTGACATTGGCCAGATCTTATTTTCAGCCTTTGAGTAGTGCGGGATGGGGCAGTGATTTTGATGCACAGTGCAGTCTCTGAGGGTTTTTAATTCTAAAAATTTTGCCATCCCTAAGTTTTGCTACCTAGTGCCTCTCCTAAATTCTAAAAATTTTGTCACTCCCAATTTTAATTGTTTGGTGGTCTTCAAAATCCTAAAATTTTTGCTAACCTGGTGGCGCTTTTTTTTTTTTTTGTTTGTTTATATGTTTATTTTAATTTTACTCTGCTTTAATTGCTCATTTATGTAAAAAGATTTTTTTCCTTCTAAATTACACTAGCTTTGTAACCTCACTGGCCTTTACTTCCTGTTTTAGCCATCATGACCACCCCCATTTTTGGTTTAAGTTTACAAAGCTGTCTCTTTCCCTTTCAAGGTTAGCCTTCCCTCTCAGCCACTTTTAATCAATAGGCTTTGCTTCATTTCACCTGCTCCCCATCTTTTTTAGACGTGATGGCTCTCCCCTTCTTAGACCAGTTTTTAGCTTTTTGCTCCTTCCATTTTTAGTCAAAAGGCACCCCCTCCTGCCTCTTTTAGCCGTTTGGCCTTTTTTTTAGGCTTTTTTGCTCAGCTAATGTGCTCTGCCTTGTTTTTTTTTTAGCCTATTGGCTTTTGCCCACTTTAGTAGTTAGCAGGGGCGTAGCTAGAGTTTCCAGCGCCCGGGGACAATTGAAGAATTTGTGCCCCTTTCTGTGTGCCAAGAATGGAAAACATTTCATTAAAAAATTTCGTAGCATCATATTTACTGGTAGCTATTGTTACAAAACAGCGCAGTTGCTTTCAGTAGCAGGAGCGGTTATAAGAGTTTGTTGCTGTTGTTAACCTGGTGTCAGCTCTCTGACCTAAACAATAAGTGAAGCCACAACATTGCCACATCTACATGTCATTTAAGTAGATTTAATCTGGTGAGCTGATTTAATCTTGATGTTGGACTCAAGTTCACCAAATGCATATAAAACTTTCCTTGTTTTCTTAAAGAAATGATTGCAATTAAAATGTACAGGTTCTTTTATAATAAGAGTAGAAAAACTGAAAGAAATTTAATAATTTTTAGACATTTCAGCATAATACAATGTCATCATATAGAAGTACATAATTTTTTAAGTTTGTTGTGTGATTTGAAAAGGATCTTTTTTCATTTAGGACAAGGGTAATCTTATTTCTCTTCATTGCTCTTTCTCCAGATTTACTGGAGACAGAAAATCCATTCAGTGAATTTTTAGCCTTATTTGTTAAAAGCAGCCTTCGAATTTTTGAAAAAAATTATGCCAACTTCTGACGAAAGTGTAACTCCGGATATAGAAGTAACTTTTAAATGCAAGTAGCTGAATTTAAGGAACTAGTAAAAAGTGATACAACTTTCTGTAGAAAATTAGATTGTTTGAAAAATGAATGAATTAAAGACAGTGAAAACTTATCTGAAGCCAAATATTTAGTTTTTCTTTACATTTTTTCCCTCATCCCAAACTTGAACGGCCATTTTTTATTTGTAAAGCTGATTTCTTTATATCTTACTTCAATAGCACTGAGAGGTATGCCTGACAGGTATACAACATTGCAAGGCTTGTTTTTTCCTCCCCTTCACAAATACATAAAAATAATATTTAGTTCTTTTAATTTCTCTAAATAAGAAATATAAAGAAATAATTTTTATTGGCATAATTGTTATAATTATTATTATCTTGATCTCTAACAATCATGCAGAAAAAAATTCATATACAAAAGCATGTTTCACATTTTATTCTAATAAACATATCATTTAGAAAATTAATACCATTTATTATGTTCTGAATATGATAATCAGGAATACTTAAATAATTACACTATCTGAGAAAACAAGCACTTGAAAAAGATCTTTTCCAGCAGAATTTAAGATACACAGAACATTTAATAGTTTTTCAAAATTATTTTGACACAATGTACATGACACATATTTTAAACTCTTTTCAGTTTCATTCAGCCACTGACATATAACAGAAAACTTACATCTATAAAATTAGCGTTGATATAATCAGAGCCTGGAATACCTTCTATGACTGGTAATCTAACTCTTGTTTGATCATCTGAAATGAGAAAAATGAAGTCATTAAATCTGAATGCATGGTTTATTACCACTAAAAACGTCACTTGAAATTTAATTGTATGAATTTATAATACTTCAATAATAAAAAAATAGAAACGTACAGTAATTGCTCTACAGTGTTATATATACATGCTGTTTTGGGTGTTTCAATTCATTTTATTGAAAATGGTGACGAGCATGATTTTCACGTTGACTACCGAAGGAAGAATTTCTATATAGTCAACATTGAGGGCTTTATTAATGTTGAAATTCAGAATGAGTAGCAGAAATTTTATAAAGCAGATCCAGCATCAGGACAGGAAGAAATGGCAGGATACCAAAACCTCATCAATGGTTTTACAGGATGAATCCAGGTATTTTCCACTCCTCATCTCCTTACCACTAAAAACCCATCAAGTGGGATTTCAATTAACTAATATTTCAAGTGCCACTATGCCTCACAAGCTCACAAGCTTTCGCTGGAATTCAATTGGAAGTCCAAAAATAAAGCATCAATGGTGTTAGCCACTATATCAGTCAGGGCCGTCAGATGTAGCCAATAACAGATTAATGGACTAGAAGAGAAACACGCTAATGTGACAATCAAAATCGTAAAAACAACCTTGTATTTAGTGTAGGTATAATGAAACACTCAATCGATTTCGAGGGCAGTAAAGGTCCCTCCTCATCAGGAGAAAGAAGAAAATAAAGGAGAAGGAGTCACAGAAACACATGGTCCTTATCAGCACGCACATGGTTTATTAGATTTTTAATCAGAGTTGCACTGGCGCATACTTTTATTGAGCCAGGCTATCTGATCAAGCAAAAGGACAAGAAATTAACGAAGTTAAAGAGGGGTGAGGGCAAATGCACTTACACCAAAAATCTGAACTTCAAAAACTTTTTTTTTAAACCCTCACTCCCTATTTAACTTCGTTAATTTTTCTTGTCCTTTATGCTTGATCAGATAGCCTGGCTCAGTAAAAGTAGGCGGCCAGTGCAACTCTGATTAAAAATCTAGTTATAACCACGTGCAGTGCTGATAAGGACCACATGTTTCTGTGACTCCTCCTTTATTTTCTTCTTTCTCCTGATGAGGAGGGACCTTTAGCTGCCCTCAAAATCGATTGAGTGTTTCATTATACCTACGCTAAATACAAGGTTGTTTTTATGATTTTGAACAGATTAATGGTCAACAAATTTTCAGAAAGGGGATGTGTTCTGTGAACAGATTAATGGTCAACAAATTTTCAGAAAGGGTTCAGAGGATTGAAAGAAGAGTTTAGAGAAACCCTAAAGACTGAATAAAGTGGAGAGTTTGGTATTTCCAAGACAACTGCTTCTGAAACTTCTGCAATACCTCAAGAGAGATATCTCCTACATTCAGGTATCAGACATTTTGTTAAGAAAATTTTGTGTCGCATTTACCTCTCTCTCCCCCTCTCTCTCTATATATTACTGACTGAGATCTTTACTGTGACAATTTTGGCTCTGTGGCAAACTATGCAAGCTGGGTTCTTAATGTACAGATTTGAAGGCATGTAGTATGGTGTCCATTTTGTATAGATGTCAGCTTATTCATCTCCTCTTGTCCTTAGGAGTTGAGAATTTAAAAGTTTGCCTCCTCTAAAATGGGCTCATGCCAGCAAGATGTTATGTCATATTAGGTCAGATTTAACAGTTTTGGTCAGAACATCTTTTATGAATCTGCTTAGCCTGCCTAACAAAGAGCTGAGCCATAAGGACTTTCTGTGTAGTGGATAATTTAAGTTCCGAAGCACGTACCAATTCTTATGTATCTGAACTGATCATCCCGAGGCTGTCGAAAATCAAGATCTCATGAAATAAATCATTTTGTTAACTGATGAGACCACATTTTAAATTTGGTGAGTGGTTAGTTACCAAAACAGTATAGCAAATGTTCACGAACAGCTCTTGCAATATTTCAGTGGGACAGAGATTCACAGAAAGTTAATGTTTGGCTTGGAATGACTAAAAGGAAAGTCTATGGTTGACACTTACAGGTAATGGTAAACATTGACAGTCTACGGCCGACATTGACATTCATCGTTATATAACACAAATTTTCTTAGAACCACAGCTGATTTCGCATGGCATTTATAATGAAGCTATGCTTCACTACAGTAGGACTTAGTGCATTTTACTACCATCATGCATAATTATCTTGATAGTGCATGCTCTTTACAAGGACTTGCAGAAAACAAACATTACACTTCTCAATGTCATTACTATTTTATGAAGTCAGAGAAGTACAGGCTGAAGAGTGTGAGCATTAATCAACTAAAATGTGGCACTTCAAATGTGCATAAAATTACACTTTCTATGATGAAGAAGATTTTCATGTCAGCTTATACAGAAAGGTAAGTTTCTCTTATCTGTCTCTTAAGCTAACCTGGGTAACTGGTAACACAGTGCATGGAAAGGCACTGAAATTGCTCGATATCTGTGTATTTTAGTCTTCTAAATTGTTTTTCATCAATAAATACTTTTGGCATCAGATCTAGATTTTTGTAACACTCTGTATTTCCATGTCTTGATAACAATGAAAAATTTCCATCATACGCAAACTAAACAACTATTTTAGTTACATTTCATGTTCAGAATAGAAAACTATTCTATCTGACTATATGTTTAAAGTAAATGTCATTCAACTGATAAAAATAACAAAGATATTAGTAGGAATTATAAATATGATGATAGAACAACAAATCAGGCATTATACAAGTGTTTATAGCAAACAGACAAATTAATGAAGCACAATTCATTTTGTGATCAGTTATTGGGGATCAGGAAGGAATTACAATAACACACTCAAGACAATCAGACTGAGCAGAAAATTACAGAAGAACCTTTCAGCCCTTAAAAAAACCTTCAAAATTTTTAAACTTTCACTGTTAATACATACAAAATATAAAATAAAAATGAATATAGTAATTAAGATCTCATTACTTTAATGTGTTTTAACCAGCAGCAGACAGACTATGTAGTGAACAGTCCATATAATCATAGCAGAATTCCGTTTACAACCAGAAAATGTTAATAAATTGCCATTTTCAAACAAAATCACTTCATTTTCTAGTCTTATTAATAAATAACTTTTCAGTCACATAAGTATATTGTTTTCAAATGACAAATTCAAATTTTATAAAATCTAAATTTAAAATCATTTTATCTTCAAAAATAATATTTTACAGTCTACCTGAATGGCATAGTAATTATTATATTTATAGACCAAAAACGTATTAGCAAAGCGGAGGCGAAGTCCACTGGGGTGTATATGATGGTTTTACGATCATCTGAAATATGATTACCTTTCTTTTATACTTAAACCATAGTACTTAGGAATATAAATAATAATATTAATATGTTATGTTAAAGACAACAAAAATAACACATATTACTATATAAAATACTCGCATAAAAATAACCAATAAATAAAACCAGCTCACATAAAAATTAACTTAATTATAAAGAAATATGAACAATAAAACTGTGAGACATAGCAGCATGTAGAGAAAAATAATTATTATTTTTATGATAGATGCCATAGCACACAAATTCGTGAAACAAAAAAATATACTACACATGAATGATAATAATACAAAATAAATAACACCAATTCATGATATAATTTTTTTCATTCAGATTGGAAGAAAAATTATTTCAGACTGAAAGAAAAAATTTTAGATAAAAATTAAAGTTGCTTAGATACAGTCAAATGCTTAAAACAAAGATATATTAGCTCCTTACAGATATTTTAGACAAATTAATTCAAAACAATACTTCTGTAAAATAGTTTTTATCAAGCTCAAACAGAAAGTATAAATTAATCAAATTAGTTTAAGCTTTCATAATAATGATATATTATATACATAAAATTTTAATGTTTATTTGGTACAAAAGATAAAAGTACAATAATAATTAGTTTCAGTTTAAGAAATGAATAAAGTAAGACAGGCTCTCAAATTATAATTTTCATCATTTGACACCTTTCAGTGAAAAAAAAATTCAAAATTTTGTACACCTTCAATAAGAGAAGTTTTTAAGAGGTTGTTCTTTATTCCACAATCAAATGCTTTTTTATAAGTCAGCAAATCAAAAGCAATACTGACATGGAAAAATTGTCAAAATTTTGAAGCTTAAGTCACTCTCAACAATGAATAAGAATGGGGATTTAATATGTGCACAAAAGTTAATTGCATTAAAAGCAAAATTTCAAACTTTAGTATTTCTACAAATGGAAATATATGCTCTTTATTAATATTTATCAAATGTAAAAGACATCTTTTGGATATTAGCATTTGAAAACTTAATAACATATAGGCTGCCTAAGTAATATTTGTATATTGTTGAGGCATTGTCTTAATAATAATAGTAATATGTTAAATTAATTAATTAAATTTGTAGGCATGCAATACATGCCTACAAATTTAAAATTGTGAAAAAGGCATTATTGTTTTTTAACACAATCCTATAGTAAAATTCTTATTAATTACTTTAAATATAGAGTTTCAAATTGAGCTAGAAATTTTAAATAAAATGAGTTGCATGTTTTGATGGCTTCTCTGATTTTGGCCCTGCATACTGTTCAGATATCAGCATCATTAATGAAATATGTGTTTTACATGAGCAAAAGGAATTTCATTTTTCCCCTCTTTTCATTTTACAACGTAAGAAAGCAGGTGAATGCCCCCCTATCTGAATACAGTTTCTTTACCACATGTAGCTAGAAGAAATGAGTTTCATTATTAATCACTGAATTTGGTGCAGTTCGTTATTAGGTTTCAGTTAAAACAAAGGCAAGTTTTCAGAATGGGAAAAAAAATCTTCCAATTCCAGTTTTCCTCAACTTTTGTTAAATAAATTTAACACTAGTCTTGCAAATTATTTGAGCTGAATGATCTCTGTTTTCCTCTTAAGCCAGAAAATAAACTTGTAAGTAAATTTATACCACACCAGTATACGTAACATGATCAGTGAAATTCAAAGGTCAATATTAACAGTATCAGTGTTTGACTTTTATCAGGCACTAAATCTGAATCAGTACACGATTGTTATAACTTATTTATTAAGTATACTTGGAAATATATTAATGCGTGATCTGCATAAATCAAGTAAAGTTGAATTATGGCTATATGATATAAACTTCAGTATAAAGTCCGAAATACAGACGTCCAATATCCGGAATGATCTAAAATCTGGACCTCAAAACCACCAAAAAAGTATTTCTCATAGGCTTTATGCATGCGCATTTGATTCCCCTCTCCACGCCTAATAAAATATCTGGAGAGTCCCGATTCTTAATTTCACTTCGACACTAAATAAAATACCTTGTTACTAAAGAAGCAATCATTTTAGCATAAATTTGTATGATCAGTTACTTGGCTCCATTGCTGTGTAGCTGCTTGACACACATCTCGAACTGAAACATTACCCATAGATACTCGTTGATCTGACGACAACATGGCAAATCATTATTTAATTATACTTTCCTTTCATTACCGCATGTTTATCAAAACATGACAACTTGAGTAATGACTCATGTAGCGACGCCTAAACAATTTTTTTATGTTAGTAATTGAATAATAAAGGAGTATGGTAGCAATTGAATAATAAAGGTTTATGTTGACATTATGCTTGGCGGTGATTACAGATTTACGTTAAATGCACTAAAAAATTTTGACGAGGAAAAATTTATCAAAAATTTCTTTCCCATATGCTAAAAATAGATTTTGTTGATGATACTCATAGACCTAAAGATTACATTTGGAGGTATTTGAATTAAGAATAGAGACTATATCAGGTGATAAGATATCTAGCGCCGGCCCTCAATAAGGCTTAAATACAAGGGATTTCATAGATCATGGAACAAACTCAGAGAGGTGGTGGAGGGTACTAAAACATGCATTTTTGTATAGGAATGTAGGGTCTAAAGGGACGGGTTAAGGCAGGAATGCAAAAAAACGACACGAGAGGAAAATGTGTTTATATACAAAATTAACGCAAAGTGCTTCTTTGTAGCAATAGAGTATTCACAATAAATGTTCAAAATTGCAACCACCAGCAGTAATACATGCTTGGTAACGTCGCAGAAGGGATTGACAAACATTTTGAAAAATGACAGGCATTTCGCACACACTTGCGCTTCCATAAAAAAAAAAAATCCAAGCTGGATAAATCTGGCGAACTGGCCCACCACGGCCAATCCATCGGCCCGGAAATGTCCCACCCAAGTAATTGCGGAACTGCACGTTGTTATGGACTGGTGTACCATCATGCTGGAACCACATGCGATCACGAATGACAGACAGAACATCCTGAAGCAATTCCGGTAGCACCTCTTGCAGAAAAATATGATAACATATGACGTGTGCTGTGTGGATTACGAGTTGCCCACACGTGCATGTTGTGGCTATTGAAGATGCCGTCCTGTGAGAAAGTTGCCTCGTCCATGAATAGCACATCCGATCCGAATCTATCTCTTGCAAGCTGCAGACAACGTGCAATAGCTCTTGTACTCGGCTGCAGACAACTTGCAATAGCTCTTGTACTTGTCTGACGTGATTCATGCACAATGTTCAAGATGGATTCTTTAATGCGAGGTTGTTGTGCACTTCTTCTTCCACTCCTAGTGTCAGAGGTGGCCTTCAATTGACCCGTTTTTCACCGATGCAACCTCTCTAACATTATGTGCATATGCCTGTTCAGACCTGGTACAACCATAGCGCTGCTCTGCTGTTCCCATTAGCAGCACCATACATGAGATGCATGCCAGCCTTTTCCCTGTGCGTAAACTCACCCATCACGCTCGACATCAGAGTGGCGAATGATCCTCTGATGCATCGGATCGTGGTTTGTCCGGCTCAGTACTGCTGCATTGCTGCCAATCACAGCTGTAGTTTCTATTACTGTTCTCTTTTTTGTACATTTATTGCATGTGCAAGAAATAGACATAAGTATAATAAATAATTAAACTAATACTATTCAGGCTTAACTGTCTCAGTGCGCGATAGAAGCAAGATGAAATTTGATGGAACAACTTGTCGATAGTTGCCAAGCTCATGATGCCTAGCCAAATATGTATAGTGAAGGATAACTAAATTTGATGATGATAGCCACTAATTTTAAAGGTTTTCAGATATGGGGGGGGGGTGAAAAGGCAAAATTTTCCCATTAACAGATTTTGTACAGAAATGTGGAGAAGTGGTAATAAATGAAGATGATATAAAAGACGTTTTTATATCATAAATGGCGAAATCTGTAGTATGGTTCTAGATCCAGAAAATAGCACTACCGATAGTGAAGAAAGTGACAGAGAAGTTACTGAAAACCTGAAAATTTCGATTGACAAGTTAGTCGGAATTTTCAAAACAGCAGATAGAGGACTTCGGCAATGTAACTAAACAAGAGATTATGTCTGTCTACAAAATTAAAGAGAAAGTATCAGCACAAAAAACGAAGCAACTTAAAGCAACTTCATTGAAAGAAATGTTTAATAAGGTAAACAAATAAATATTAAGTTTTTTTTTTTTTTTTAAATTTTATTTTGATACCCCTTAGATCATAAATACTTCATTATTTCATGAATCACGATTTCATATTTTTAATTTTATAATTTCTACATGCCATCTTATTAGATTTAAACTAATGATGTATTATCCGCAAAAATCCCAAATCCAGAATCGCCGAAGTTCCAATGAGTCCAGATTTCGAACTTCGTACTGTATGGACTACAAATTTTCAATTACGACCTTAAATCTGGATAAATTTGTAATATGTGCATTTCATTACTTTATAATGTAAAAGCATGTGAATATGCAAATAGTGTAGAGAACTCTCAAATACATATAACTTTAATTTTCTTTAACTAGTATAATTTTTAAAAATTTCATGTTCAGCAGCATGCTTCTTATGAAAATGTAGGACATGCCCCTGGTATATGGTCATGAAAAACTAATTATTAACCCTTTAATGAACCAATAAAAATTCAAAATGTGGTCTTTTTTCTGCCAATTTTTTTATTCTTTACTTTAACTTAACCTCTTTTAATCTTTTCTTTATTTTAACTCAAAACTGTAAGAGATTTATTCTATTGTAATTACATTCGAAAAAATTCTTGAATGTATTAACTCGGGTGCACAGAAATAATTTACTTTGGTGTATGAGTCTACTGTATTATAAGGTTAATAGCTGAGATAATTTTAATCATATAACTATGGATTTTTTTACTAAGAAAAACAATTCCTCCTTAACAATATATATGTGGACAGTAAAAAATTCATAGGTTTTTACTAAAGGATATGTTTCATAGGATGAAATCAACATTATTTAATCTATTTCTTAAACAGAACTCGGGGATCTAAGACTAAATTTCCAACAGAATTCATGCGGTCTTTTTAACAACCACTTATATGTATGTATAAATATATAAACACAGTGTTTTCCTTGGGTAATTTTTTGAAGGAATTAAAATATTAATTCACTTGAAAATATGTATTCACCAATGGATGAAACCTTTATAAACTAGCAGTTTTGCTACGAAATTCTATTCCTGAACAGAATACACTGACTATGCTAATGTTTTCACAAAGATATATAAATAACTGGATGCTATCAAAGGCATCTTTGTATACAATCTCCATGAATTAGAAATAATATATCATGACTACAGTAAGATTTCAAAAGAGCTTTCTGCAGTCATCTTTTTCATTTTGGGATGCATAAATGAGTAACTGAAGCAACTTAATTTTACATGTAACAGATAAGAGCTATAAGATCTAGTTGCATTATGTAAAATATTATATGAATTAAAAGGTTACATACATGCTTTAATATCAGGATACCTATTTTTATTCATATTCTCGGGAGCATCCGATGCATGAGTTGTTCTGTCCTTAAAACTATCAGGTAGGGCCTAAAACAGCAATAAAATGCATGTAAAGTATGTAAAATTTCTATACAAAAGAAAGTAATATAAGAAAAGCAATTTTTACCCTCCTTCTGTAGTTTTTAATTATCTGTCATGTATAATTTTACTATAATTATATTTTTTTATTTCACAATATGGAAAAATATAAAATGCCAGAAGACAATATTTTGAACAAAAATATTTTCTAGCATTAAAAATTAAATAAATAAATATGAAACTTCAGAATCCAGTATGTACAATAATTAGATATAACGCAGAAAACTTTCTCTTAACATTTTTAGAAGCAATATAAAATTAAGCATCAAAGATTTAAAAACTCATTAACAAAGAACATGGGCATACAATTACACATAAATTGTGCTAAGATACATATTAATAAAGCTGTGAAAACCGGTGAACAGTGGCAAAGAATACTGCATATGCTCATGCAATGTCCATACTTTTTCTCCTAAAATTTCAATGCAGACTTGCAGGTCCAGGCATTAGATGGGTTATTCAGTTCTTACAAATTTGAAAACTTGTGCTTTTCCTCAAATGAAAAACCCGAGGCAACTGTTGAGGACAAAATGTGGCATGGAAGTACTGGAAGTTATATGCTTTGCACAGCAAATTCAAAATCCCCACATACATGTTTACACATTTCAAAGTTTTAATTTCAAAATGGGCATAGAGCGCATGCATCCAACATATTACTCTGCCAATTTCGAATATGTTACATTATCACAAAAGCATGCACACAGATTTCCAGCATGCAAGTTTTGTATGGCTAAAAGCACAAAAACTGAAAGAACAACAGTACTTGTGCAGATTATATGGATCAATATTTTTTCATATTCCTTCCTTCCTAAAAACCAAAGTGCAGATACTGTAAAAGTGCGAACATTACATGAGCAAATATGATGCATGGGAGTAAAATACATTTTACAATATACAGGAGAGGGGATATGAATCAAATAAAATCTGGCACAAAATTTATAAAAAGTAGCAAGACTCATTTGAAGAAAGAAATACCATTCTGCTGCATATCATTCAGTATACAAAGCAAACCTGTGAAGTGATCTAGTAAAAGATTCTTTTGCTAAGTTGACATTTCTATATTGTTCATGAAACTTAGGATACTGATAGAAATAAAAACTTAACTGTTAATTATTAAAAAAATTTGTACAGAAGCATTACTATTATAAATTACCAATTGATTAATATCAAAATATTGAATTTAAGGTTACATTTATGGAAATTTAAAAATAATGAAAAATGATAGGTATATATATTTTCAGTTATTATATCCTGTCTAGTGAATAAAAAATGGTGTCAAGAAATGAAACCTTAAAAAAAAAAAAAAAAAAAAAGGTACAGAAGATGGCGACTTTCTCTTCTTGAATAATTAGGATTAAGTCCAAGGGACAAGAAAAGTAATACTTTTCAGCAAGCACATATGCAGATAATCAAGTAACAAGAATATTATGTACACTGTGGGGGGGGAGGGACAGTTCTATATCTCTCGTTCTACTGGGCCGATTGACGAAATTCAAATTACGTTTTTCATCTCTCAAAAGCGCGACTTAGGATATATATATTAGATTTATATATATATATATAGCATTTTTCTAACATAGGTCTTTTGACACAAAATCGTCCTTTTTCTGAAATAACATACCCAATTTTTTTCCATATTTTGATTTTACAACTCAAATTATGTCTAAATATTAAATTTTGTAAAATCTGGTGCGAAATTTGCAGAGAAATTCAAAAATTTATCTTAGCGTGTTTTTACAGTTTGTGCCAAGAATAATTTACTTGGCAAACTTCTTAATACATGGCAACCTATTTTCCTTTCCCTTCCATTTTGCAGGAGCAGAAAAAATGTTACGTCATTCCTGTTTTCAAATAATTTTAACAAAGTGCCTAAACCACATTTGATGTTATTATCGCTTTCAACAAATATGCCAAATTTCAAAACGCATCAATTCCCGTATATCTTCAGAAATTTTCAATAAAAAACTGTAATTTTTTGTAGGTATGCTTGGAAATATATCTACTTTTAGTTGATGGTAAAAATTTTATAGGTTATAATTCAAAACTCTTTTCGAAAAATTATTTCAAAATACAAATTTTAAATATAAATCATACACAATGGACATATTTTATTTGGAATGAACCTAAATTTTGAAGTGTGAAAGGAAGAATCAAATAAGTTTAATAAAAAAAGAGAGAATAGTAAATATATACCAAATTGAATTAACATTGAAGAACTAAAATTTTTAGAGCTAATTTTTTAAAATCTACTCATGTGATTTTTACAAAATTGGCAGTTTGAGACGTAGAATCGAAATATGGAAAAAATGGCATGTCATTTCAGAAAAAGTCACATCTTGTGTCAAAATACCTATATTAAAAAAATGCTATCCAAAATCTAATACATATCCTAAGACGCAATTTCGAGACATGAAAAACACAAGCTGAATTTTGTCAATCGGCCCAGTAGAACAGGAGATATAGAACTGCCCCCCTTTTTTTTATCAGCATACATAAATTAGTCATTATGGGCATTTTATCTTTAACCGAGCATTCTGGAATCATTTTGAGAAGCATTTACTGTCCACTTATCTCATAAAATACATATAAACTAACTTCTGAGTTGAATGAAGTTTAAATTTTACATTGCCTTATGGGAAGCATGATCCAACGACACTGCTAATTAAATTACTGAAAAAAAAAAAAAAAAAAAAAAAAAAAAAAAAAATTCTTACTGATATTTAAGCTATAACAAGATTTCTTTACTAATTTTATGATTTTGCCATAGTTACATAACTTGTTTCAGAAAGACTAAATATTTGCCAATATTCATCAATTCCCACCAAAATTCCTCAAGGTAAAAGATGATAAACTTACTTGAGTTATTACTCCAAAAACTCATAATTCGAAACTTTCCATTCAGTTCGAAAAATACACTGACTACCAATAAGTATTTGGACACATGTGATAGAAAAGAAAAACTAACTTTATTCAAAATCAATAGTTGGTAGAGCCTCCACGAGAGGTAATCACAGCGTGGACCCTCTGGGGCATACTTTCCACAAGTCTTTGTATGACAGCTAATGGTATTTTCTTCCACTCGGCTGGGAGAAGACATAGAAGTTCCTTCACCGATTTTGCACGGGTAGTGCACCCCTGAATTCGTCGATGCAACTCGTCCCAGGGGTTCTGTAAAGGGTGAACCTTGATTCGTCACTCCTAAGAACCTGTTTCCACTGATCTACGGTCCAATTTCAATGTGCTTTCCACCACATTAACCAAGCAGTGCGGTTGGACTTTATGATCAAAGGCTTATGGGCAGCAGCACGACCATGAAAACCAAGCAGATGTGCTTCCTTACGGATGGTATTCATTGAAACAATACTCCCAGATGCCTGTTGAAACTCCTCGCGGATGAGGGCCATCGGTTGGGTGCTGTTCTTCCGAATTTCTCTGGACAGCACTCGCCGGTCTCTATCTCCCAGTTTCGTTGGTCTGCCGACTCGGGGCACATTCTGACAGTCACCGCTCACCTTCCACTTCTTAATCACATAGGCCACTGTCGATTTTGGGTACTTCAGATCACTAGATATGTCCCTTAAGGATCGGCCACATTTGTGATACCCGATAATTATACATTTCTCGAAATCAGAGAGCTCCAAACTGCGAGTCATCTTGCATGCAACTAAAGCCGATGCTGTTTCTTACACGATATATACCGGTGGAATCTGTGACGTACCTTAGGGCCGCAGATATCGTCATTTGCATAGGTGTCCAAATACTTATTGGTAGTCATTGTATAATGAACATGAAGAACAATTTGATGAATTTTTAGAAAGATTTGAAAATTATTTAGATATACAAAATGTTTCCTGTGATAAATGTGGGGAAGTACTGATTTCCAGGTCATCTTGAAAAAATGTTTAGTCTTTTACTTGCTGGGTCCTGATAATCCTTCTGATAAAAATTATGATGTGTTAAAAAAATACTGAAAAACCTTTTAAATCCTAAGCCAGTTATAACATCAAGCAGGCATGTATTTTTAAATCGAAAGCAGCATGAGAGAGGAACAATGCATATATGGCAGAGTTACTGTCACTTGCCATATGTGTGCTTACGAGCACAACATGCTAAATACAATGCTGCAGGATGTATTTGTTAGTGGGCTAAGAGATAGGGTTATTCTGGACAGAATTTTTGAGCAGGATAACATTAGTTTAGATGATACTTTAAAAATAGCTTTGGCAATGGAGATCATGTTAAAAGGCGTAAAGAAAATAATTAGGAAATTAGTAAAAATTAAGAAGTGGTAAACTAAAAGAAGGGAGATGGAGTATAGTCTTTAAGATGTCTGCATAATGTATGGCCAATGTATTTGTATTCCAAAACGATACAGAGAGTGTGCTAAAAGAGTTACATCATGCACACTTAGGGACTGAAAAGTTGAAAGCACGTGCTAGATCACGTGCGTGTTTTGGAATTACATAGGATAAGGATATCAAAAATACTTCCCAAAACTGTTTAAAATGTGCAAAACATAGATTAGATCCTTTGAAGGTAAAGGTCAATCATTGGGAGTACCCGAGCACTCCAGTGGACCATATTCACATTGATTATGCAGGACCTATTTTTGAGCATATGCTTTTGACCACAGTCTATGGTCAATCAAAATGGCTAGAAGCTTACCCAATAAAATCAAGTTCGGCTTTTAAAACAATAGAACGCTTACAGGACTTTTGTATGATTTGGATTACTAGTATTGTTAGTGAGTGGTAACAGATCCCGGTTCACTTCATATGAGTTTAAGATATTCCTACAGAGTAACGAAATCACATACAAAAACCACAGCACCATTTAACCCATTTAGTAATCAGCTAGCTGAAGAGTATGTGTAAAAAGCAAAACAATCCTTGAACCATGCAAAATTATCTGGGAACTCTGACAGAAAAACTTAGTACATTTCTAATGCAATACAGAAAGGCTCTGAACTTAACTACTCTACAGAGCCCTGCAATGCTAATGCTAAGGAGGGAAATTCGAACAAGAATTGACTTACTGAGACCAGATCTCAAAAGGAGGCTGGAAGAGTGAGTTCCGAAAAGAACCTACAAGTTTTCAGACTGAGGATTTAATGTTGGTGATAAAGTGGCAGTATGAAATTATTGCCAGGGTGACCAATGATGGAGATTTGGGACCATTCAAACCAAGGATGGACATGTACATGACACTAAAAATGCAGACAGTCAGTTATGGCAGTGACATGTTGACCATATACGTTATGGAGGAACCACTAATGATAATGGCTGCAATACATCCTCCTCCAACTCTCGCAATTTCCAAAGAAACTGATAATAGTGAAATCCCAGAGCCATCCAAAGATAAAAGTCACCAGATAGATAAGTCTGTGTCATCTTCCAAATCCAGGGTTTTACCAAAAGCTCCATCCACAGGATCTGCTGCTGATACAACTAGGCCACCAAAGATACCAGCTGAGCCACAACTTTTGCATCAATCCACCAGAAATCGACATTGTATCAAGATTACAGGACTTAATTGTCACTGAAAGCAGAACTGAGGTGCACCAAGAGAGTGTGAACTGGGAAAGAGACTATGGAAAAGTGTCATGGAGTAGTACACATTTATGCGGAAGAGGATTTTAAAAAAAATAAAGTGTCTTGCAAAATGAAATAAAGTGTTTTGTAAAATGAGTATATGATGACAACACGATACTCGTGCCATATTTATATAACTTGTTTCAGAAGAAAAACTTTATTACATTTATATATATATTAAAACATGTTCATGCTTGTTGCTTTAAATTTGCGCACCAAGGCGGAATTAAATTTCGTTACAAATATTCTCAGACAGCAAGGGTAATGGCTAATTAGTTTAAGCAAAACATACAAATGCTACCTATCTAAGATTCACCTTAATTTTGACAGAAGGCCCTTCAGAGCATGGAATACTATGATTGCACACCCTTCTTCCTCTACTACTAATTTCTCAAGAGACCTTTCATTTCAATAGATTTTAAGTTCTTCCATGCAGACACACTACAGTCCTAAATGTTTACACTTTACATGGAACTGGAAGATAAACACAGTGGAATGAGAAATTATTAGCCTGACTTAACTACTATATCATATGGGGTGAATCTCAGTCAGAAAGACATTATTTTCAATTCACAAATTTTTAATGCTTTTACATTTTAGTTACAGGAACTTTTAGCATACAGTAAATATTAAATTAATGAAGAGACTTTACAACCAAATCAGCCTTTTCATCTGCATTTCATAATAGAATTGCTTTCTTGTATAGTTATAATCCAATGATACAGCAGTTAAAAGTATTAACAACAATAAAAGGTCATGTTTGTCTGATAAAAGTGGATATATAGAGGCTTCCAGTTATAGCAAATGTGTCGTAACACTAATATTCAGATTTCAAGCTAAGATTCATCCTATCCTTCTGGGCTTATATCATAATTTTTGATCAGATCAGAAAGTTATGCAAATTTAAAAATAAGACTAACTACTGGAGTGTTGCTCGCTGGATAGCTGTCATCATACTTTTCCTTGTTACATGTGTTGAAGTTCAAACACAAATAATATGCAGCTGCACTGCTGAAAATAATTTAATAATTTTTTATAATATACACTGACCAGATATTTAGTTTTAACTAGAACTTAATTTTGTAAAGATACGAACTTTAGCTACAGGGAAAACAGCTTCATCTTGAAACAGTTTTTATACATGATAAGTCACCATATTAGCTTGTGTAGTTATTTCAGCAAAAACTGCCAGGAGTGGCCTAACAAATTTTATTTGGATTTTAATTTGACTTGTTTTTGTGTCTGGAGTTAAGAAGTTACTATGTGTAATAACTCTGTATGTTAGCTATTATATTGAGTGTTCACTTGATATTATTTCACACCACAGAGTCATAATATTTACTTATTTTATCAAGTTATATTCTGAAACAATACCAGTACACTAGTTTTTTTTAATCAATTTTGCATATTGGAATACTCAATGATATCCAAGTGAATTTATAGTAGATCTTAAAAAGTTACAAATGAATTTTAGAGAGTGGTTGAAGATAATGCATACCCAATCCAAAGTGAAACTTATACTAAGGTTAATAATACATTTAACTGAAAAAAATTTAAATTCTGCTTAATATTTTTTAAATACTGATTGTGCTGCATTGCAGATTCACAATTTTGATAATTCCATTAAAAGTCATGAAAAGATATTTAATTTAAAACTGACAAAATAAAATATTAAACATGAATCACTCAATAACTAATATAGTGAAATATTAATAATTATGGTCATTAATATATCAAAATTTCCTGCCGTGAAATTGTCATGTCAATTTAATATCAAACCTTACTGCCTCTTTTGTTCTTCCTATAGCAAAATGAGGTGAAGAAAATTTTTGAATGTTTCAGAAAGCTCATACCTCAAATTCACTTTGAAAAAGTAAATCACTGTCCATATGTCTTTCAATGAATGCTGCTGGTAGTTCCTCTGCTGCAATTGGGCCAAGTCGAGGGATTTTAGATAAAGGTCCACCTAGGATTTAGAACATTTTCACACCTTTTAATAATGCTGAAATAAACATTTCTAAAAAGTTTTAATAAATTTAAACTTCAACCCCAGTTAAAATTACATTAATTTTAATTTGTACATACAGAGGAAGGTGTTCTAATATCGCTTGAATCTAACACATTTGTGCATATACAGTGATTCTTTAAACCATTTCAGAAGGGCGGCCTTCAAATCATAATTGTCGCTGTAGTGCAAATGCTAGTTCAGCTTTTGAAATGAAAAGAAGTCACTTAGAGACAAGTCTAATGAATAGAGTGGATGAAAGAACCTGCACAAGTTGAACAGTAGTCTTGCAAAAGCAATACTTAAGTTTGTCATGACTTGATAAAATCATGTTTGCCATGGCTTGTTACAGTGATACTTGATACAGTTGAGTTTGCCTTCCCATGGCTTGTTACAGTGAGACTTGATACAGTTAAGTTTGCCATGGCATTTTCTTTTATGGTTTGTCGGAGTTGAGTGAACAGATTAGCAATGTAAACACTTGTTGTCGTGGCATTAAATCAATAAGCACTGGTATCACAAAAAATGGTATCCAAAATCTTCCCAGAAGATTTCTGGGTTCTGAACTTGTGGGCTAAGGAATTTTACCTTTGTTTCCACACCCATGCTTTACTCTTTTGTTTATTGGTAACAGCGGTCAAACTAGAGAAGCTATTTTTTTCCAATGTTATTAGCTGTCAATTACAATTTTCATCACCATTAATATGGACAGCAGTTCTCTAGAACGTTCTATCCCATGCTTCTTCCTTTTTGACACAACACTCTGGGACAATCTTTGACATCTCCAGACATGCAAAAAATGTTTCCCCCATTGATTCAGTATTGATGCCCATTTTTGTAGCAATCTGAGAGACATTGACTTTTCTATTTTCTATGACAATTCTCCGAGTTTAACATGCATCCACACTATTTCCTGGCTTGGGATCATCTTGAAGTGACTGTTGTTCCCTGTCTACCACATGCTCTTTAATATTTGTCAGTGTTTTGTTTTCTTCCATCAAAAACTAAATCACTTAATGATGTTTGAAATTTTCAGTATTAACAAACATCACTAATAAACAACATTTAACAGCCCTTAAATCAAATAATAAACCTGCTGTATATTTTCCTTGCTATACTTCCAAACTGCGCTCAGAAATTATTGAATGCCCCTTGTTTTAAAATATTATAATTATCACAGTTTATTAATTATATTATACCATCAAACACTTTACAATAATGCTAAAAAGAAGTGTTTAATATATTTAGGAACATGAAGGGCTTCAAGAAATAGCTTACAAAGACTTTAAAAATTACAAATACACATTTGGAATAAAATGTCTATGCAAGTTTCATTAGGAAAATAAGACAATAGGATGCAGCAATAAACCAGGATTTTTCGAAGTGTTTTTGTATTTCATGAATTATTATCATGCAGTGAATGTAAAATATATTTTATGGCTATAATTACTTTTATTGCAATATTTTCCCCTCTCTCAGTATGAAAAGTTTTTGGAAAGATCGGCAATAACAGATAAGTATAAAGAAGGGGGGATGTACTAGCATTGAAAGTTCCACAGTGACAGCAATTAGAAGTAAAAAATAGATTGCTTGTTTTTAGCACAATATAAAAAGATATGCTTGTACTTGTACCCTGAGACGACGAACACTGGAACACTGGAAAAGGAAAAGGAAGAGAGCTCTAAAGAAGTTAAGAAATTTATAGCGAGACATGCTAGATGAATACGACGGTAAAAGCATGAGGTAAAAAATCTTCAGATATTTTCCGCTTCCTTCAGTACAATTAATTTTAAGATTATTGCGACGCCAAGGAAGATTTATCAGAGCTACTTTTGCAGCTGGACTTTCAAACGGAAACTGATTTGCATTAAGCCTGCAGCAAGCCATGAAAATCAAATTTATTAGCCTAATCACCCACTGGGGATTCAACCTGAGACAATGTACCAACACTTTGTTTCTTAATATTAGAAAACAGAAGAATATCTTAGTGCAAAATATCAACTGGTTCATGTATTCAGTTTCATAACACTTAGTGGAATAGCATGAATTCAAAACTTGAGCTATCTCAGTTTCCCTACTTTCAAATGGTTTGTTTTCTTAAAAGTTCAGGAGTTTGTACTTCATCATAGTTAAAGAAAAGTGATTTTCAGAAAATAAGGCATTTTATCTCTGAATCTTTTAATGCTTACTTGAAACTGGATCGTGATAAGCTAAAAATTCCAAGCTCTGTGTTGAGATTTCCGACTCTTTATGAAGTCTAAATGCACATTCTTGTTTCTCAAAACTGAAACTAGATTAATTAATCTTTTTCAATGAGCCCTATTTTTATTAAGTTTTCCTCAGTATAAACAATTCATTTTCTTTAGTATATTTAAAGAATGATTATAAACCTTTGTAGTCCAAATATTTGCAAAGTAGAGAACGCTTCTTATGTGATTAAGAAATGCATTATACATATCCCAAAAGCAGCTGACTGAGAGGGCTAATTGAAATTTCTTCACACTAATTATTTTAATCTATAGGTCTACATGCTCTACTTTTTTTCTGTTTCCCAAAATAGCCTCTTTGACATTAAACACATTTTTTGCAGCATTTTCTTAAGAGTTCAAACATACGGAACACAGTTTTGTGATATCTTTTCTAGCACTGAAAGTGATAGCGTTTTTTCAATTGTCAATTAAATAGGACCTTTCTCCAGTAGCAAGATACACCGGCCATTCTCCTGTTCTTTGAGAATATATGGTCTTTCCTTCCCCATGGCTCAATGCAAAGGGAGAATGAGGATTTTTGCATACCAATCACTGCGTGTAACTATTAGCTTACGGGAAATTGAGTGCTATAGTATCGACCAGTGTTATATTAAATAATAGCAAAAGCGTGACTTTACATACGGAGGGAAATAAACGGAGTTTGGATGTTTCGAAATCGAGTGTTTCTACATAGTTGACTGTTGTTTTGATAGCTGACTGCAGCGATCACGTGGTGCGAGAGATTTCGGTGGCTTCAGGTATGTAGTTGCTTACCATCTATTAACACCAATGAGAAGAGCAGCAGCGCAATCCCGGGTCTGTTTCATATGAGTCGAATTCTCTACCACTAGCGCAAAGCAGCTCCCGTCCGCTAGGTTCAAGAATTCGGTTTCTTTCAAATTTGCAAGCGTTGAGTGGCTCTAGAGATTGCTATACTGACCATAACAACGAATACGCGGTTTGTGAATCTTGATATTTTGAACGACACATTTGAACAGTATTCTGGCATATCTAAACGTCACATTATAAGGTATTTCTCCCGCCTTCTTAGCATGCCTTCGTTGTGTAACGGTCAGCACATATTTATTCGAAAGGTCCAAGTCCCGACGAGGGCATTGCTCATTTTTTACGTCTTCCTGCTTAAAAAAAAAAGTCTAACGAGTCTACAGCACATATTGCTCTTCCGAGATTCATGGTTATTTAAAGGACGCATTCATGACGCATTTGCAGTACTCTATCACAATGCAATAAGTACATTCAAAGAATATGTTAAATGAGATCAAAAGTTCGCGTAAAGAAGCCTATTATTTTCCAACCGCTTCGCTTCCTGGCATTGACGGACTGATGGATGAAGGGTTTTGTTGATGGTGTGTTTGTGTTCGTTGTCTCATAAGCACTCCCCCCCCCACCGGGGGTTGACTAAGAGGCAACTCCCGGCGTTCTGGTTAGGACCAGTACCTAGACAGACTTCTGGGGTAAAATTAACAGTCTTCGTAGTGACTAGAACCATCGTTTATTCGGTGGTAGGTTCAGGTTCGGCAGGGACCATATGGTACTGTCTTGTGTGTCCCTTGGTTGTGGGGGCGTTATATGGTCTGATATCGAAGGTTGTCCTTGGGAGTTTGTCTCTCTCTGGTCAACACTGGGGAACGGTCGATGTTCGAACTTTGTTCTCTTTGACGTGGATGCGTAGCCATTCATCTTTAACTTGGGTGCTTATAAGCCAGACTGTGTGAAACAGAACTGTTCCCCTGGATTGACCGGGCGGGGGTTAGTCCTCATTGGACCGCCTCTAAGGGTTGGCGAGTTGAATTACGTAAGACGGTCAAGAGCTAGCCAGGTCTGGGTGCTCCTTTCTCGTCGTGTACTGTCTCAGAAGTACTTTCACCCGTAGAATTCTGCAACATGAATAACAGTTTACTATCACGTGCTTGGCGTTATATTTAAACGTTCATTATCTTTCCTTCGAAGTTCAACACAAAATTCAAATGTACACCTCTTACATATTTTCAAAGAGACGTCTTCCTCCTTCGCCATGACAAAAAGTACTAGGTATTACCATTTGCTTCGACTAATACTGAAGGCTACTGCAATCCAACATTCAGTCACATCCATATATGGTCTTCACAAAATCCACTATGAGGTTTTTACGTTCAATACCAGAAAAGAGAAATACAGTCCTTGTAGTTAACACTACTGGATTCTGTCTCGTTCCTTTTCAGTTGGAGTGGATTGACATCAAAAGCACGATTTATTTAACTCAGACAACTACCTAAAAGCTTTTTTTTTTCCAATTATTACATTGACCTAGCTGATGAACAGCTGTATCTAATCTGTGTTCAATTCTCAGCTCTGAAAAGCCGGTTGAGACTTTTCATCATCACACTAATTAATACCCGTTTACATCTGTTTTCTGCCTGTGCGCACGTACACAAATACATACAGAAACAGAGACAAATACATCCATATATACATATCCGAATCTAATTCATTTTAAAAATCACAAAAATACATAATTACGTTAAATGCTAAGATGCAAACTAAAGGTAATTTTTTAATCGAGTTATTTTCATCAAAATAAGAAAAAATTAACAAAGGTCAGGCAGATTTTCTCTTGCGTAATAAAGAAATTTTCATACCAGGATCAAAAGAATATTTAAACTTTTAACAAAAAACACAGTAGATTATTATGATACCTAAATAATTAGTTTAATCTTTGACATAACGCTCATGAAATCAAAAGCTGTAAAGAACATAAAAAATTAGAGTTAAAGGCATATTCACCTTTACCTCTTGGCAACTGACCATTGCGATGAATAGTCCTTAGTATTAGGGCAGTAAGGCCTAAACGTTCACCGTTCTCCAAATACTGTGGTCCGTGCTTGTGCCTGAAATAATATTTTACATGTTAACACTGAACCATAATAAATATAAAATTTATAAAGAGCAAAGAGAAAGTTTCAAATCAAATGCTTTTGCGATTGCTTCAGTGATAACATTATATCATATAGGATGCATGATAACCGTCCTCAAAGAAAATAAGAATACAGATATATGTCGTGTTTTACTGCCGTTATGCATCAAAATAAACAAGTTGGACGTATATTTCAGTTTTTAAGAAAAAAAATAAAAAATGGTTATATTTAAAACATCGGGAAACAAATTGGTACATTTTTTAAGCTGAAACATTTTAAAATAACATTTAACACGTTGAGGATGGCGTGTACCACCGGTGGCTCACACACGAATGATTCATCTGGTGGCGTGTCCACCAGTGGCTCACATCAGCTATAGTTTTATAACACAGTTTTGTTACATGAAAAAAACTTCGTGTGGTTAAAAATAACTTTTTTATAGAAAAATTGAAAAGCTCATTTTTACAGGTAGACTATAATAGTCAACGTATTTACATATTTATTTGCTCTTGTAGTTTTTTTAAAAACATTTTAGACATAGTGGTGGTTCACCTTCGCAAAATCGGCAAACTTTCAATTTATTTGCAGCAATGTTTCTACCTCGTCGAACAGATAAGGATTTATAACATTCACGGCATCGTTTCCGCGACTTTCTCGCAGGCAGTTTCCGGAATACTTCTCAAGAAAATGTGTAGTTCTTCTTTTAGTTGTTTGTGGTTCTGTAGGCATTCCATCCAGGAGCCGATCAATAATAGTTTCTCTAAATTTTAAAATATTAAAATGCTTGGTACGCTACCTCTTATGAATATACCATGCATTGACAATTGATGTTGCGCAAATCAATTCTGTGATAAGTGTGCTGTACCACTTAACTGTTTTGCGTAAGGAATTGTAATGTGATACAGTTTGATCGGATATATCAACGCCTTTTTTTGCATTACTGTAGTCAAAAATAGCATCAGATTTTAGTTTACTACGTGTTTCTTCAATCATAGTTACAAGTATGATTGTTCAGCGCCGGATCTTTGATTTTTCTGATGTGGGGCAAAAGCTAAAACTGCCGCCCTCACCCATCATCCTTTAAGTTTCTCTAAAAAGTTTTAATTTCTTTAATAAATACAGAAATAGGTAGGGTTTGAGGTAAAAACCTAAGCTCCGTTTTATACTAAATTCTTAACGTGTCATTTTTTTGGGGGGGGCTATAAAGGAAAAATACGTAGCGAAGTTACATATTTAGAAAATCGTCTCCTCCTAGGAGAATCGCCTTTCTGGTGAGCTTACTTTCGGATTCAAGCCTAATCCTAACTCTAATCCTGAGTGCTTCTAACCCTCCAGTTCTCGCCACCATTCGTTTTCCGTTCTAGGGATAACGGGCATTCCCTAAGCTTCTCACTACTCCGTATTATTGCATTACTGGTTAAATTAGGTTGGGTTAGATTATATGAATATGGCAAAGACAGGAGGGGTACCTGCTTAGAGGAGAGGTGCTTTTGTGGAGGAACTTTTTAAAGGAAACTGGCTCGTATTCACATTAGACATGAGGAAATCCACGAAAAGAAACCATGCAGCCAGCCCGTTCTTTTGGGTTTGAACCTAGGCAAGGGCGAACTACAAGTATTCAGCGGTCTTAATCACTCGGCCACTGCTTAGGACATTTTTTTGATTATTTACTAGGTGTTTCGCCATTAGGCACTGCATGGAAAGGGAGGAATGCCTTGTGGAAACATTTTTTAAGGAGACTGACTCGTATCTGCTTAGAGGAGAGGTGGTTTCGTGGAAGAACTTTTTAAAGGAAACTGGGTCGTATTCACGTTACACATGAGGAAATCCACGAAAACAAACCATGTAGCCAGCCCGTTCGCCTGGGTTTGAACCGAGGCAAGGTCGAACTACCAGTATACAGCGGTCTTAATCACTCGGCCACTGCTGAGGACATTTGTCTGATTATTTACTATGTGTTTCACCATTAGGCTCTGCATGGAAAAGGAGCAATATCCCGTGGAAAAAACTTTGTAAGGGAACTGGCTTGTATCTATGTTACATACGGGGAAAATCACGGAAGTGCTCATACATCCAGCACATTCACCTATACTTGACCCTCGGACTAAACTACTAGTACTCAGCGGCTTTTATTGCTCAGCCACTAATGGTACCATTGCATACAAAATATGGGCTATTGCCGAAAGAAAGTATTCTGAAACCATTATACAGGATATGGGCTATTACTGAGAGTATTCGTGCTTCCTGTCTTGTTTTTCATACTTCCTATTTCATAAGTAATTTTAAATTCTTACCTGCCTTAACGCTATTAAAATATCACGGAATTAGTAACGAAAATTAAAATTTTACTCTGTAAGCCTTTTGTTCGCATTGAATCGTCATAATTTGATCTGCGGTTGCCAGAATCGCGAGGCTTGATAAACGCTCTTGGCTCACCGATGATCGTAGATATTTTCTAATATGTTTTAATTTGCTGAAACTTTGATCTGAACAGGTTGAAGTGTTCGTGATTCGTTCTCAAACAGTTCATCAGATTGTTTTTTGTTCTTTGGAATTCTTTATTTGTCAGAATAGACTCAAATGCGGTTTTTTCGGCTACTGTTTTAGACTCTTGTATCCAATATTCCACAGGATTTTTCTCTCATTTTTTTATAATTCCTCAGTTTTGGTCAATTCTTTCGTTAACTACACAGAACGCGGAAGAGGCATTCCTTTTGAATTTCTATATTTACTCCATTGAATTCTGGAAAAATATTAGCTCAAATTTTCAGGTTGATGGTAAATTCAAAATTTTCACAGCATTTACCAGATGTCCTACCTCGTGCTTTGATTCCGCACCAAGAGAAATATATTTGATTTCTTTTAAATATTTGAATATTACCGGTAAATTAATTAGAAGGACTTTCCCAGCCACACATTTTTCCGACCATCTCATCTGGCTGCTTCCTTTTAAGTTGTATTTTGTACATTTTTTCATAATATACTGTCGAGTAGTGCATCCGACAAAAAAGCGAAGTATTTTCTGAGTAATTCCAAACAGATTAACTGCTTCCCGGCACGAAGAAGCAGAATGCATACTGGCAAAATACGAGGAGTGAGCCAAACATGGCACAAATCCCTCCAGCTTATTCATTTCTATAATTCTAGCTTGTATTGTTTTAGAAATGCCAGCCATATTAGACCCATTGTCGTAAGATTGAAACCGACATTGTCCAATATCTAAACCATCAAGTGTCAATTAAGACACCAATTTTCTACAATGCGTTCAGAAATACATTAGCCCATCTTTCCACCAACTTCTATGAAATCAATTAAATTTTCCTTTAATTTCACATAATCAGCACACGTTTTTACGTATTGAGTCATCTGGTTCATTTTTTTCTGTATGAGATACATATGGGGTAAATGTGATTCCTTTCCCTTTGTTAGGTGCTTTGACTTGTACTTAAGAGTCTAATTATGTTTGGCAAGCGGAGAGATTAAATTCAGAAAATTCTCTTCGCTAGGTCGAGAACACTTTGTGAACAGGCTACTTTTGATTTCATCAGACCCAAGCAAAGAACGACAGTTTGTTGAACGATATAATACCGCATTTATGACTATATAGAATTTTTCTTTCTCTGTATGAATGAGTCGCTCAGTGTCGTGATCGATGCCTTGGCACGATTTCATTTGTTGTACTCGAATTTTCCACTTAATCATGCACCTCTGTGGATTAAAGACGCTTCGCGCTCAGTTAATCTTGCTAAAACTTTTTTACAATTAATGAATCCTGTTGTATGGTGTAACGGCAGCACCATGTTTCTGATAATTCTTGCAGGGTGTATGAAAAATTGCATTCTTGTTTTTAGAATATGTAAACCAAGATCTAAGCTTTTCATTATTTACTAATGTTCTGTATTACATTTCAAATGTCTGCCATGACGTTTAATGGGATTGAGGCTTACGTTTTACCGGATGTTTACCAGCTAACGATGCTGACTGACTGCTTAAGAAAGATTGTTGGTGACTGTTCATTTTTTTCTATGACCAGCCAATTGCATGCGTCCAACAAATAAAAAATGTTTAGTTTTTCGTCTTTCTGTGGCGCTCCCACCTAAATGAAGAGATCTTTATATCATGGTTTCATGTTCTTCAGCTATTCGTTTGATGTCGATGAAGATGGTTGTTCTTTCCAAATGCTGACTTGTAGATTGTTTCGGGATGATATATGCAGTCATGTTTGGTCGTGCAAATATTAATTCCCTCTAGAATCTCAGCATAATCAGAATTGCGGCAGGATCTGATGGTTTACTTCTTCTGTGAAGTTATTTTTTAATCTTAGCTGAAATTTGTTTCTCTGTTTGGCCTTATCTTTGGCTCGTTTTCTGTATTCCGCTTTTCTCCCTCTCGACGCGCAGATGGTTTCTTTTAATCTAAATAAAATTCACTATGAATTGCCTTAATAAGAATAACTAAATTGGCATAATTACACTGAACAGTTCTAAATAAATGGTCGTGTCTCACTAAATATAGTGCGGGCTATTAAAACTATTAAAAGAACACATATCTTAAAAAAAAAAAAAAAAACACTACCTTTAAAATCCAAAATGCACTGCACGTTCCGAGTCAAACCAAAGGTGAGCCTAAGTTGCCTACTGGCTGCAAAAAAATCTAAATGCCTTGCTTCAGCTTGAAGACTTAATGGCTGTGTCTTGTATATACTCGATGAATATTAATTTGAATTATTTCATTTGTCCAGGATGGTCCAAGGTTAATTTTTTGGGTTAGCTCTTAAAAAATAGTTACGATGCATCTCCATTTTCCAGTAGACGTTGCTATGGGAACCAGGTGACTTCTTCAACAATCTATCGTTTTATTTCTTATTTGAATATACCCGGCCCAGACAGCAAATGATACAGGGACTTCAGATGTTACTGATAGGGTCAGTCTGATTCTATCAGTGATGCCTGGAGTCCCTCTATTGGCCTCTTTCTGATCTCGTATTTATAGTTGTAATCGGCTGTACTTTATTTTAATTCATGTTCCTTAAAAGGGTTATTAGTATTTAATTGCAAATCTTCTTAAAAGAGGTTTTAAAACTTGGCCTTAAAACTATTAACATTGTACTAAAATTAGAGAGCTGTTTTAGCGAACAACATAACAAAACGATTCAGCGTTATATTTAAATTTGCCGCCCGGGGCAAGAACCCCGGCTTGCGCCCCTCGCTAGATCCGGGACTGTGATTGTTGCAAGTAGTTAAAATGCAAACTGACCATTTCCTGTCCATTTAAAAAAATTAACTCCTTTAGGATTT